GGGCGGGCTTACTTACTTACTTACTTCTGGGTTCGCCGACCAACCGGTTCGCAGGGACCGCCGCGAACTGGTTGAAACCCACCCCTGCTGCAATCACTCCAGTAAGATACAAATCATATAATGGATTTTCCTCACTGTAGCAGCCATTTTGAACAAATAGGAAACACTACCCACCTCTCTTTCTAACATTAATCCTTCCGCTCGTAAATTCTTTTCAAAGGTGCTTCTTTTCTCAATTTGAGTACTGGATTTTTTGTAGACTAAAATGTAATCAATACGTTTTTTGCCATCTTTGAAGAATAAACCTGATGTTGCCAGTGCAGACATGTCACTCTGAAAGAAAAAGAGGGTATATAATGGACTCTTAAACATAGCAACACAGTCCAGCCAATGATTAAAATATGGGATGTATTTTTAGGAACAATAGTTTCTTTTTAGCCCTAAGAATTATACCCAAGACAGAAGAGAAACCTAGACGAAAGTACTTCTCTCTCTTTCTCACACTTTTTAAAAACCATTTGTTCCTTAAACTCCACAAATTTAGATAAAGGTAATCAGGATATTGGTGACATTCAGTGCTGTCAATCTATATGATGTCTCCTTAGCAGGAGGCAGATATCGGACTAAATAATTAGGTTGATGATACAAAGTGAGTTACAAAGGATTTGTTTTGCAAGAATTTTGAGAACTTTTGCTTCTTTGCTTACTTATTTTGATATGTCTCATAAAGGATCAGTAGAACTCCTCCAATGTTATCCCATAATACATCTTGGTATGTTGGACTAGGGACGAGTGACAAATAAACTCTATATGAAGCAAACATTTTGAATCTCAGACTCCCTAATTGACATTTTAACCAGTGCATCTCTTTTAAACAGTGTCAAGCAATACAATTATTAAAGTACTGGTATATTTATGGTCAAAAGCCAAACATACAATCCAAAATAGTTGGGTGAAAACAACAATAATTAAAGAATTAGTCATATTAGAATGGTTTTATTAAAAGTGAAAGCAGAAGCTTCACCGCACGTCACTGTTTTAATCTTTCCTGCCTCAAAACAGCACAGCTAATGCTGTTCAGTTTTGGAAAAGGCAGCATGGAAGAGTTCTCGGATTGCCGACCTGTTATCTAGACATCAGTGACAACATTTTGAATTCCAATCCATCCTTCCCTGCAGTCCCAGTGGCCCTGGAGCTGGTTATTTGCCTTTCCTCAGAAACAAGGGCAACTGTGATGCACATAAAATAAAAATAAAAAAGTAGGCCTTCAATCACTGTGGCTGCCCTCTGACTTTTATGACCCTCCCGGTGGACAACAATGCTGCTCAGAAACCAGTGAAAGCCATTCCACAGAGACAGTCAATCTCCATGAAGATTTTTTTAAACACATCGTCCTCTCCTTTCCTAAAGCATCATTAAATCCTACCCTTGAGAAACATCTTTCATGGCTCTGAGGCCTAGGTTGACAACAGCTTCCACTTTTGTAGTGACTCAGAAAATTAGAAACAAAACAAAACAATTCATGAAATGACGAAGACAGAAGAAAGTCAGCAAAATTCTGAACTAAAATGTTGCAGGTTGCAATTTGTTTCAGTTTCAGGAATATTTATGGCCTTTGGATGAGGTTTTCAGCAATAACCATACTCTTATATGGGTACATGCAAGGTATAAGAACAGAAGAGGGACAAGCAAGAAAATAGATTTGGTATGTATCCAGGTGCAACTGCTCCTGATTTATTGACTCTAACACATTATTTTGTCCATTATGTATACAGAATCTCAGGGAGCAATGACAGTATAATACCTATTATTAAAGAGTAAAATCCAATCCTACTAATTGAGGAAAAATAGGTTCAGCATTTCTCTTTTTGTGTCTAGTCTTATGCTTCAGATGAACCTGATTCAGAATGACAGAAAAGTGCAATATTCTTGGAGAGTTGAAATCATGAGCAAGTACTAGGTTGCACACATCATAATTCCATTATAAGTAAAGTTGATGTTTAACAGTATGGAGGAAGTGTGGGAAAATATAACTAGCTCTATAAATATTCTACACCATCCCTCATCTCTCTTTTTGGTTCAGAGCAGAAATGTAAATGTACAACAGCAGGATAAGAAATTTGCTCTTGTTGGGATTACAGCTAGTCAGTTGTAATCATCTTTCACATTATTTACTGATTTACTTGATAAATATCCCATTCTCTATTTCCCCTTCATTAGGGAAGCTATTTTTGGGCCTTATACTCAGTCAGAAATCTATGGCCACCGTTAACACACAATCCTTACTGAATTGTTTGTATCACCCCAATATTGTTTTGTTTCACCTGATTTTGACTTTTTCTAAAGGATATGTATGGGACAAGTTGAGAGAGAGAGTGACAGTGTAATTCTACTCCCCAAACTTGGGAATTCTATAAGTCTTCAATATTTCCTTCTTGGTGCTTCTTCACCTCATTAGAACTGACACAATGAATCAGGTCATTATTAATCTTTGGCAGCTTGTCCTATTCTCTCCAGACATTTTGAACTGCAGTTCCCAGAAGTTCAGACCTGGAAAGTGCCAGGTGCCTGGAAGATGAAATTATGCACTTTAAGTTTGAATTAATGAATATTTTACAACCAGTCTACAGTTCCACCAGTCCTTTAGATGTGTTCTGAATAAACAACAGAGAACCACGGGCAATAGACTCTGATGATTTAAAGATGCATTAATTTAGATGGTGACACCTATCCAACCTTCTAGAAGATAAAAAAAAATACTGCAAGGTTGGGCTTAGTTAGGACTTAGGCGGGCCATTACCAGGAAATACTAGGACTGTAGCTAAACTGGGAGATCAAAGCACATTCAAGGGGAAAGCACTGGCAAATGCATACACTGCTGCCAAGAAAGCTGCATAGATATGTCTATGATGTTCCCAGAATGTTTCAGCTTCCCTCAGCAATTTCACCTTTTTAATGGTAACTTTTAAAATATGGAATTAAAGCTGCCTCATGACAACCAATGTCCCTTTTATAGAATGGATCACAGTTCTGCATAAATAAGTTCAAGACTGCACTGCATCAAGCTTTATTTCTGACTGTGTTGTCACCAACATGGCCAAAGGGAGATCTATTGGATAATAGCTCTTTCGCTGGCTGGCACTCCATCAAACTCATTGTGGCCATTTGTTGTCCTGATGTTTTCCTATTTCATCGGTGAAATGCAAAGAACTATCTTCATAAAAGTTATCCCTTCTATTCTCCACTTTTCTACCAGTCAGCTTGAAATAAAAGAATGTGCTGCTCAGCTTGTTCTTCTGTAATCTTTGCAGTCATTTATTCATCACCTTAACTGACCTCTCAAGACAAGACAAGAAAGGAAGATTGGAAAAAAAGTGATATATATTTCCAGAAATGCGAACAGTTTAATCTATATATTGAGCCTGCTGCAGCTCATTCATGTCATGATATTAATCAGGAGTGGGCCATCTTTTGGAAGCCAATGGCCAGATGTTCTTTAGGTTGGTAACTGGATGGATAAGATTCATTAAAAGGAACAGTACTGCAAACTTTATGAGGTCTTGACATACACTTTGCCATGTTTTCTCTCTTACATTTTGCAGGGAGATGAAGTCTATTTTAGTATATCTTTGAACATAATGTCACTTGGGGGCAGTCATAATTTGGAAGAAAACTATGGTGCATTTAATTTTATTAGGATATGTTTTGGCTCTGTAAATAATTGTAGAAGCCTTCCTGACAAAAGCAATCATCAGTAGCAATCCATCTACAATAGTTCAACCAGGGTAAGCAACTGTCTGCATGACCTTGAGATAACTGCTGAAGTGTTTGTCTCTTCAAAAGATTGACCACTCCCATCCTATTGACTGAAGAAATAATAATAACAAAATATGAAATGATGCAATTTCTGTATTCTTGACTCTTCCAAGAGAAATCATAACCTCAAGCTTGCTTTGGCACGGGAAGTGTTAGTGGGTTTGAGTCAAGTGTACTAAAACAACAGGTGTTCTGCCACCTTGAAGGGAGAAGAGAGAGAGGCAAGAGAATAATTAGCAAATAAATTAATTTAACAAGGGCTTAGATAATTTCCCCTTCCAATAATAAGGGGCTTTCATGAGCTTCTTTCAGCATATTCCTGACAGAGCAGAATTACACACCATTCAAGCAAGCTGGCATGGAATTCTGTAGAATCAGAGATGAACGTGGAGGGGTTATCAGACATGAATTAAGCCTAGGAAATACAAAAGGCTTGAAAAAGAAATTCAGATTGACACCTCCCTAAATCATTAGAACAGTGTTTATTATCCTTGGCAACTATAAGATGAAAGGCATCAACTCCTAGAATTTCCCAGCCAGCATGGCTGGCTGGAGAATCCCAAGAACTAAAATCCACACATCTTAAATTTGCCAAGGTTATGCAACACTGCATTAAAATAAGAGAGGGAGGGAGGAAAAAAACCTCAGCACAGCATCCAAAACGTTATTACTATAGCCTCTCTCAATAGTTCCAGACCAATTTTAATTCCAAAGATAGGGACTTCCTTCCTTCCCTATTCTGGGGAAAGTTTGTTTTCTCTCTCGATGAAGAGGAAAAGGCATTGACTCCTAGTCTTATCCTTGCAGTGAGTCCCAATCTTTGATATTGATAACTGAGAATAGGAAATAAGTTACTTAAGATAGCCTTACCTCTTACCCCATTCATATTAGCTACACTGTTCAACCCACAAGGAGAACATCAGCTCTGGGTAGAGAGCCAGAAGACAGAAAAGAGGAGGAGTGCAATTTTGCCACCGTGCTGGGCAAATAGCACTGCTTATTAGCAGTGTATGCCCTTGATGTGTCAATCATTTGCAATCAGATCTGTTAGGTACTGGCTGTGAATTAACAGAGGCTGAATACATGTTTATTAATGGCTTTATCCAAAGAGATGTAATGCTGAAAGAATCCATTTTCATGTATATCAGACCTTGTCACATTTGATCCCGAATGTCCTGTTTGCTAGGTATATCTTTCTACATTGCTCTTCCAATCCTTGCTCTCATGTGGGATGTGTGTCTTGGAATCTTTAATCCTCTGCTTTATCCTAACCATATTCTTCATCCTAACCATTACCCTTTGAATCAAGCTTTGACTGTTTTGGATTAGACTAAATCAAGTTAACACTCCTTGTAAATAATCAGAGATATGGTTTTAAGGATTCCTGAAAGTTGGCGGATCGGGGCAGAGGATAGCAACAACACTTAAACTTATATACCACTTCACAGTGCTTTAGAGCCCTCTCTAAGGAGTTTACAGTGTCAGCATATTGCCCCCAACATTCTTGGTCCTCGTTT